GACGTCTCGGCTTGTGAATCACCAAGAGAAATTAGTGAAGCTGAAAAGAAGAACTTTCACTGGACCTCGGATGATAAATAGAAACAAATGACAATAATGTAACAATGGACTACTCTAATACAAAGAGTTACTTACGTTGTACTCTAGTTGTTGACGGGCGCTTCCAAGTATTAGTGAGATCTTCAGATATGTTACGCGATAGCTTATCAACTGCGCGATATTTGCGCACCTGAACAAGGTGTACACATACAAAAAGGAACGAAGACTACATATAATTACAACGACAGAAAGGGTAACCAGCAGATACTCAGATACCCTGGTATTCTTGGTTGCTTCCTCATAAGATGATGTTGAATACAAGCGAGATCTGAAGAGAAGCAAGGAAAACGCTGAGGCAAAAAGCAGTTTACAAAGTGCCACAAGTCGTCGAAAACCTCACGATTTTGTTGAAGACATATTCGCCAAATCAGCGTCGAAATCCGGAGGGGTTTCTCCGAGCTCCACGTTACATGGAGGACTTCTTGACCTGACCTTCGAGTTGCTCTTGGAACATTTCAATGGGGATACCTATAGGAATTTTCATGCAATTACAACATAAAAAGCGGTGTGGTTTTCGATGAACAAACCTGTGCCACAGTCCTTGAGAAAGGGAGCTGATTGGGAGCGGCAGAGGATATAGGACCCGGGTATAGAGGGGGAACCTGAAAGTCTCTCATTATGGTGGCTCAATCGCAGCGATAATTTATTGGACATGCACTATGCCAAGAAGCTCAACAGGTGAGCCCGGCAGTTTTATAAACAGTGAACTCCGCGCCGCCTTCTGTAAGAGTCAAGATTGACTTTCCCTGCACTATTTGACATAGTATCCTACAAAAAGTGTCCTTAACTGCACGCAAACTCTTCACACCAGCATTTTCAAGCAACTGCTTATTTTCAAGGAAACATGGTGCAGTATTGATATCCAAAATCTTTCTGGCTATGTCGTCGAAAAAGCGATATAGCAGACTTCACAACGGATCGACCTCACGACTTCCTGTCCATTATCTCGGACAACTCACACTGCGCGTTTTCGCTTCGTAGCTCCTTTCAGAAAATTATTCAACTGGTATGAAAAGCAGTTCCGAGCTCAGCGTGTCTAGAGAAATGCAATGGTGGACACCTTCTTTCATATAGCCAGGGCGACCCGTTGTTTCCCCTTGGTAGACAGGATGATGAAAGTGAATGTTCTCTATGGAACAGTTTCGGTTTCAGCTGACGATCTAATAACAAATTTAAAAAGAAATGAATTCTCACCTACAACTGTCTCTCGTGTCCACGGGCAAAGGACTGTCAGGAACAATCTGGTCATCTGATTGATGAACTTGCACATCAACGTCTTCAACAGCATAGGGTCCCTCTTCTGCAACTAAGATATGATCATAGAATAGCGTACCAATTGAATATCGATTGAGTAATCAACAAATGACAATTCACAACAATGAAAAAAGCAAGACCTCGTTCGAATTCGGCAGGATCAAAGTCGTAATCTTCATCATGTAGAGGAGGAGCTTCCGGACCGCAATGAATTATTACCGGCTTCATTACAGAATTCCCTTTGCTTAAAAAGCACACCACAGTCATGAAAACTCTTTACGCAAGCATTTACATACTACCACAGGTTAAAAATATGCATAACTTGCCCATTATCGCCTCCTGTTCTAGTTCGCGTTTCTATAGATTCTGCACACTGTCCTCCTTTTCTCGTTAGGGTTTTCTTTCCTAAAAGCCAGGTTGTTGTCGGCCATGAAAAACTTCTTCAGAAAACATTCGAGATCGAGAGGACCAAATATATTTTTCAGACTAATTCAAAAAACATAGAACATTATGGAAGAAATTCAAAGTTTGGCCCCTATATAAACTCTCACGAGAAAGTCGCCACAATGAATTAAGCTTACTTTGAACTGGGTACAGTAATGTTCAGTTTCTCTGCCATTACTCGAAAGGGTCGCCGCGCCATGAACGGAGACTCACCATCACCCCCTGAAACATCGAACATGGAACAGAAGCAATAAGAATCGGAACTCACATTCGAAGTATAATCAGTGAGACAGCGAAGGAAAAAGGAATCAAGAGAATTTAGAAAAACCACGAGCAGAATATGAAGGCAGAATGCCGAGGCGCTCGCAAAATCGCATCACCAGACGCAAAACAGATTGGCGGCCGATTTAACGGCAGTTGCGGCGCGGTTGTAATGGGTCAGATTTTCATTTTTTCGCCGAAATTTCAAAAAAAAAACGTCCGAATCTACACCCTCGATGAAAAGGTTGCATTCCTCCATTTCACAACCTTTGAAGCAGCTTGAGGTAGAGTTAGATAGAGCTGGATTTCGCGTTTCCAACAAGCATCGAAATTGCTCTGGAAGCCTTCCTTGCAGAAAGATAGGGTCTGTCAAATTTCGTCGAGTAAATGTCGAGGAGGCCGAAATTTTCACGCGAGTTTTTGCCACTTCAAGAGCAATATATCTCTTATATTGTAAGATCCTGAAAAAGGGAAGATAGTTTTGGAAAGCGGAAGGTTTGCGCTTCCTGATGGTCTGTTTAGTTTTCTTCTACAGCTTTCTGGTTGAAGAGATAATTGCGTCGAGGATCTATCGAGGACGGATCCGGCCACCTGAAAATCCGCTCCCTCTTCACCATTGCAAGTGTGATTCGTTGGCAACACTCGGAATGTGTCTAGAACAATATCTTTGAACGCAAGCAATAAGAATAGGGGCAATCGTCATCATCCGATTTGGTATTGGTATAAGCCATGCATCCTCCTCCACTCACAGTTGCAGAATCGATTGAAAGGTGTTATATGATGGGGACCTTCGAACGAAACTGTATTGTAGTAGACATAGTGTGTTGTGCTATTCCTGTAACCTAAAAAACAACTTCATTTGCCCAGCGCTTTTTCTTCACGGTTGTCGTTTTTGCGACAGGCGTCCTCTAAGAACTGTGGTATTCTCAGCGAGGTATTGAGAGCGAGCAAAGGAGAAATCGATAGAGGATGTGCATTTGCAGTGCGTATGATGCGGCGCACTTTTTGCATAAGTGCACTGGGCCAATGTTTTCAGCAGTGCGAGGAGGCGCTCCAGCGAATCGAATCACGTCCTTCTGTTCTGCCTGCCTAGCAGTGGTCTCCTTGTCTCTTTTGGTTTAATAACCGCATTTACTTCTGCTTCTTCTCTTCTAGATCTGAATTGTGATCTGATTGAGTGATCTATTTCCCTGCATTGTGCAATTTCGGAGCACCTCACGAAACACGAAATTGTGCGTGAACCTCGCCTTTATCATGAAGGTTCGTGCAATGGTACTGCTTTTTGGAATCATCCCTCGCTTCTGTCTCGGTTACGATCGATCCTGCCATCCAGTGTTCAACGAAATATCTACGCTTGGGTTCAAATCTTCTTACGTAACCCAATTCATCGAGCTTTCTCTCAGCGAAGGTTGCAAGGACAGCAGCAGCCGTAAAAGTTTCACCCTCAACAAATATGGGCTATTGGTCCTTGAGACCAGACCGCTATTGGTGAGTTCAAGAAGAATGGTACGCCTTCTCAATGCATGCACTGATTTTGAAGTCTTTTCCAGAACCTACACCTTGAGCCGGATACCTTCTCTCTGATATCATTTGTGGACTTCAATAATCATAAATGGCCACAAGAAGACGGACACTTTGTGAAGAGGTTCTACGTTGTGGGCAGCTCACGAGAGAACGTGCTTACTGATTTCCGTTTCTACGACTTTGATGATAGAACAGCAAGGTGTTCCCGCTTCGTCAACTGGCCCAACTGCAACAAACCCGGACAGACATCATGTTAAGGAAATAAAGTATGCACTATTTTTTCCCCAAAGCCTCAAACCCTTGTCGCCGTGAACTTGAGTTTCAGATCATTTTTCTCCTAGTCCATTTGAGCACCACTGTGGAATACCAAGATTTTGTCAGCAAGTTTAGCTTCGTCAAAACGTCGTCTGCTGGCAATCCTTCATATGTTACTGACAAAATTCAAGTCTCGCGTTCGGATCAGGAATGGCTTTCAAGCAGGATCAAAAGTCACGTTGTTTTCGCTCCAACTGAAGACACCCGCAGCATGCTCTCGCTGGGAAGGCTTGCTACTCTACTTCCTGGTCAAACTCATTTCTATGTTCTTCCTCCCGACTCGCTCGACGACTGCACTTCTGCGTCCTATTGCGACTCCACTTGGGTGCTGGCGCTTCCTTCTCCCGGAGAACGTAACTACTGTACTGGAGAAAACGTCAGGCTGCACCTATCGCGAGTAGAAGTATCTCACACAACGCAGCAGCCTAGTGTGGACGAAGTGAGCCCCATGGATGCAAGTTCGTACAGTGATTCGCAAGATGAGCTCAGAGAGCGACCCGGAGGTTATGCGGAGCCATTGGATGCAAGCGTCGAAGGAGGAAACGTTGATCACCCTGAAGTGAGAGACCAATGCCATTCTCAGGTTACAGAACTAAAACTCACGATCAAAGCTCTGAATAAACAAGTTGAAGATATGAAGGAGGAGCTCCATCGACTAGTTGAAGAAATGAAGGAGAAAAACAACTTTTTCAAAGAAGCGTTTCAGCTAACAGGAGAAAGTGAGAGGAGGAGATATGGACTGTTTAGAAGCAAAGAGGATCTGGAAAAATTGAAGCAAAATCTCCACTACTTAAGCGTTGACGGGAAAACGCTATCTAGGTCTCAGATCACGACGTTGGCAAAACTTCCGTGGTTGTCGTACTATAGAAATCCCACCAAGCCTTACGCCGATTTCCTCCGCTGCAACCTTTGCAACAGGGAAACTGTTATACAGGAATATGACCCGGACCCAGATCATGCTAAATGTGAGCAATCTATACGCAGGAACGACGGTAAACTTCGAACGAATGCATTGGGAAGAGGCTCTGTAATGTGCGTTCAGAAGTATGGGGGACGGGATCCCTCATCGAGAAAGGGCATCAATGTTATTCTGAACAGAGTAAGGGCTCATCAGAGTACGTCGGAGCACGAAGCAAACTTCCAAGAATACATCGCAACGGCGAAAGCGCTAGAAACTCGCGTGCCGCAGGTCGTGGAAGGTAGTCTCATCTACTCTTGCCGCTTACACTATTGCAAAAGAAGGGCTATCTTTCAAGAAGCAATTTTCCCTTATGCTATATGGGATTACGCGCAGGAGCAGCACCAGCCACAGCACACTTTGATTCCTTGTCAGCACGGAGTATGGTGAAAACCTTTGCACGCCACATGAAGTACGAGATGCTAAAGTACTTGATGGACAACAATATGCCATTCTCCTTACTTGCTGATGGCACTTCCAATGAAGGAACCAAATAGATCCTCATTCAGACAATCTCTCAGCAAAATCGACCCATCACATTCCATTTTGCGTTGGTACGAGTAGAAAGTGAGAGGGCGGACGATATCGTCGACGCGCTTACTAGCTATTTGGAGGATCTTGAATCATGGAAGAACAGTCCCGGCTTGAATGATACTCCCTATGCTTTTTTCATGAAACGAATGGTAGCACTTTCCTCTGACGGCGCCTCTGTAATGACAGGAGCTTCCGGTGGAGTTCATAGAAAGCTGCAAGGTCTTATCATTCAAGAGACACAGAGGAGCGGAAGCGGTCGAGTAAACTTCCTCCTCTCCGTATGTGCAGCACACAAACTAGATTTGGCGGTGAAGGGGCAGAAAGGAAGCGTTTTCAAATTCACACAGGTCCTTGTATCGGAATTGCACTCTCTGTTCACCTCGGCACGCGGCCGCGCCGCTTATTCTGCAGCGGCAAAGGATATGGGGTTTCCCCTTCTGAAAATGGATGCCTTGCACGCCGTACGATGGTGCTGCTAGCCTGCAGAGCTCTATTTCGAAGCTGCTCCGCGTTTACCCAGTTTTGATCCAAGCTTCAGAAAGATTAGCTAAGGACAGCTCCGCTTCTCCAATTGCGAAAGAACGAGCTACAGACGCAGAATTTATCTTGAACGATGGTCGAATATTCATTACCCTACATCACGTCAATGCGACACTTTCGTATCTCGCTAGACTGTCCGAAGCTCTGCAGGACGAAGAGGCTCTTATGGTAGATTACCTATCACGCTGGCGACACCTGGATTCCCTTCTTGAACATGAAGCATTGAAAGACGACGTCTATGATTACCTCGCCCATTGTGGGTTCCTCTACATGTGGGATCATGAACGACACAAATTTGTGGACGCTGATCTCAACTTCCTCAAGAATTATTATACACCTTATTCCACACCACATAGTACTGCGGTAGATGGACCTTCAGAGAACTTCCTCGCCTACAATCCTTCCATGTTCTCAGATTTCAGCTTGAAGGAAGTGGACAAACTGGAAGAGCTCCACCGAATGAACACAGCCCACTTGAGAAGGATACAGTTTTTTAGAAATGTCAACACAGGCTACTCACCGGGTGAACAAGGCTCTACCGATCTGCGGCGTTATTACCTGGACATCACTGTTTTACCTAAACCAGAAGCTCAAATCAACCAGTTCTACAACGATCTTCGGACAAGCTTTCGCCACCATATGACTCCCAGCAAGTATCCCACGGAAGCACACAAATATTTTCCATACGCTTTAGACAGGCATATCATATTAGACATCATCGAATGCAACGGAGATTACGAGGCATTCAAAAATTGCGATTTGCCAGGTGTTACAGCAGCAAGCCGGGGTTACCCTGAATATGTGGACGAGGAGGGAAATGTGGATAAAGGCAAGCGTGATAGACTCATTCTGATGTCCATCACCGACATTCAGGAAAACTGCTCCCTGCCTGAAGCCCGTGGCCCATTCTTTGACTTCTACAACTCAATTGCAAGAACGGCGCGCACATCGAACACATGGCCAACCGATCTCCGCAGTGACAAAAACAGTATTCAACTCTACAAAACACTTCTTGACAACGGTGAAGCGTTGAAAATTCCTCCACCTTTAGTACATCAGTGGACAAAGCCGCGTCCCGGCTTGAAGCTGAAGCCTCACCTGCCTCTTGCACTTCCTCAACTGAGAGGCAGGGTAGTCTCATGAAGGAAATAAAGGACTCCTTATGGCGAGGTACCTCTGCTCTGCAATTTATCTGCTTTTCCATCTAGCCTAACTTAGTAATTTTAGATGATAAACACAAGCTCGTGGATCTTTATGCCACACATTCAATGTCGGTACAAGGATCAAGTGAAAGTGAAGCCGCCGACGCGCAACATCAGTCAAAAAAAGACCAAGAAATGTCAAGAGCAATGATTTTTTCTTCGGGCATACTCCATGATCCCGATGAAGACAAACAATAAACCTTCCATTGACTTTGCATTGCTATCGAATACGTTCTCGTGGTAGTGGTATCACACGACTGAACCTGAAAGAATATTACACCATGTTTTCTCACATATCTTCGTTTTCTGCTGCGCTGCACCCTCTCCCCTATCTGCACCACGATGCAACTGATGTCCCCCACAGGTACGACCCCCCCTAACCCACCCTAGCAGGCACGACCCCCATGTCGAAGATATCCTCGACCGGTATTCACCCTGTTGGGGGTACTTTGGCGCAATGCATGTCTCTACTCACCTCCAGAAACCCATCCTTTTGCATAATGCACGCCGACTCTTCTTCTATATCTCATTTACCGCAACATGCACTCCTTTATGCTGTCCTCTAACCACTGGTGGTGCACTTGTGTATCAATGGCCTTCAAAGGGTTAAGGCTCGGTAACTATCCCGTTTTTATGATGGATCTTGAAAGATAGTTATATACAGTCATATGGTCTTTCCCTCTTATTCGCGACGAGAACAAGAACAAATTGTATTAATCATCACTACATTACGGCAATAAGGGCGTGCCGCCGTCAATTTTCAATTTGATGCACCAGGTGTTTTAGGTCTAGGTTTGATGTAATTACTTTGACTCAGTGTTCAATCTTTGATTTGGTCACATGAAAGGTACCAATCACGACGACTCCCTTATCTCCTCGTGAGCCGTCAACTCATTTGCTCCGAAAGGGCACTCAAAGGTGTTTTATCTTAAGACGTCTCAGACTCTCTGAGAAACTTTTGATGGCCGTCGTTACGAATTGTGGGATAGTTACATCCTTCAATCAGTCTCGACGAGAAAAAAGTTAACATGACTTCACGAGCACCATCTCGATGATGTGAGAAGCAGTCTGCCCGCTTAATTAGAGTCAACCCTGCGTTGCGCAGATCCCAGAAATTTTACGACCCCCTTCCCTTATTGAGGGTATCATTATGACACCCCCCCCCTTCCTGGGGCGGTATTCAATCCTTCCCCCAGGGGTTGGGGGACGGAAATCCCTTTAAATTTATTTGTTTTTAACGATGTAGTTTCTTCATTTTCAATGCATGCTTACTGTGACATACATACATACATTAAACCTAGGCCCTTTATCAGGACAATCCCAGTTGGGAAGACGGAGAAAATTAAGGGATTTTCGTCCCTCAACCCCTAGGGGAAGGGGTCTACGGACAACTTGAACTCAGCCCTTTAAACCGCCTCGATTTGACGCTCTCGCCTGCGCTCTCTCGCTTAACCAGCGCTTTATGATTACTGTGATCTTATGTATTCAAACTTTGCCACAATATAATTGGCTCATCCACTACGGAGTCCCTCCTCCCTTCAAGGCTTAGTCCTAGAGCTCTCACCTTCTTGGTTGGGATTTGAAGCCGAGCCAGGCACCGTTCTCTAATCGTCTGTGCTCTGGCCTTTTTCGGCAGAGAACATAGGGGAGAGTTCAAGTAGTCACGTAATCAGGGAAAGGATTGAGTACCGCCCCTGATTGAGGTGCGACAATCCCGCTATTCGTGCCCTTAGCGGGGCACGAGGCTTGGCGTGGAGCGCGTTTTTTTTTCGTTTTGAAGAGGAATCGAGACGATATAGAACTTTAGTTTTTGGTTTTTTTAATATAAGTAATTTACAAAATTACCCATTAACCCTAAGTACCGTGATGCTCCCAGAAATTTCTAGTGTCAGGAATGTTCCAAGTTATCCTTGAAGTTTCACATCTCGCCCTTTCATAAACTGAAAAACTAAATCTGCTGTAGTTACGGAGGTCTTCTCACAGAGCGAGACCACTCAAAAATTTAAAAAAAAATCGAATATTTTGTTTCTGAAAAGTGTTTGAAATGTTGCGGATGTTCAACTCTTAAAAAATCGTCCCGTTGTTCCGTTTTTTGTGCACACGCGAGTTTTCGACATTCAAACATTCATAACTTCTTACATTCATAACTTCCTTCATAGTCAACATTTTGCCGATGCTCAAAGCAATTAGAAACTGTAAGATTAGCTCTTTCAAACATGCGTGGCTGGTTTTTGAGAAGGCGCAAGTTTTCAACATTTAAACGCTCATGAACTTCTTCCAACTTTTTCTTATACTCATATTCATATTCATGATATTGAAGGCTAATTAGAAAGTAGAAGACCAGCGCTTTCGAATCAATGCTGAAACTTTTTGAAAAAAATCACTCTTCAAAAAAATAGTCCCGTTGTTCCGTTTTTTCCTCCCTTGATTTTTTCAAGCCATTTTCCTGAAATGCGACTTGCAATTTTCAAGCGTCCATAAATACCTTCCAAAATTCGTGTAATGAGAAGTCTACATGAAGAATGTCTTCTAACGTATGCAAAATTATTCGAAAAGCTTCCTTGCCAGAATTTCTGAGGAGGTCCTAGAAGTCAATTCAGCAAGTCATGTTCTAATAATTTTCTTCCACTTAGATTTGTTCTAGGAGCTTTTGAGGAAGTTTGTGTGCTCACGGCCGCTGACAGATAAGTAAAAACTCTTTCTTGGGATACCCCGTGCACCTGTTTGTGGTTAGGAGTCGCACTAGCATTTGAAAGTCCCACCCTCCCCACCCCTGGAGACGGTGATAGTATCGCGATTGTAGTTGCGTTGTACTGTTACATGGAATCCTGTTTTCTCCATGCATTTCACGGGTTCCTGTGTATACGACCCCTTTCCATTTCGTTCGTTCAAATACGACCGCCTCGTTGTTCTTTACGCAACGGGCAGTTGACCCTGCGCTCAATCGGTTGTTTGCTCACTGAAATGGAGAATCAGCACAATTTCTTGCGAAGTATTGCACACGAATTAATTGAAGTTTACAGTCATGGAATCGTACACATTAGACTGCTTGCGATATAATATTAAACAGCGGGAATTTTCTTCAGGTCCTTCAAACTCATGTGACGCTTCACGCCAAAAAAGGAAATTGGATTCTAACACTCGGCGCCACAGCAGTATCTGGTACTCCGTAATAAGAAGAATGGGGCACATGCTACTTGAGCTCCCAAAAGGCCTAAGCATTATCGTTTTAGTAATTAGTCGTTGCTTTGGAGTATTAAGAAAAGGAAGGCCACTATGGCATATCCGACCCATCTAACAACTGCGAGAGCTCTGAGACCAAGTAATCCAACATATAATTAACACAGATCAGATTTTATAATATTTTAATGGCACTACATTGATTCCTGGTATTCCACGCTAAATGATCTCGTTTGCGAAACAAACACTGATAAACGGAACAATTTCTACAAACATCGTGTCGTGAGTCTTCTTTTACACTCTTCTTTGGAAAGCTGGTGCTCTTTCAGCGGTGAATACGCTTTCTACATTCTTTTAGCGGGGCAAATTTGACTCTCGTAGAAGATTGCTATATCCACGTAATTAACCCATAACGGACGGCGTGCGCCACATGGTGGCGCACGATTATTTCTTTTGTTTTTGGAATGTTTCTAGCAATCTTAATATACCCGTATATACTCTCAGCAATGTGGAATAACATATCTTCCCAGGACCTGGACGACTGGATTTTTGACAAACCTACAATAAATTTTACATACACTTTGTCTTAATTTTCATAAGTTTACTATTTGATTTTATTTATTTATTTATTTATACGTCCAAATGAGACGCGCCAGTGAATCCAGTATGCGAAATCAATGCAATTATTAAGAGAAAAAAAAAAAAAAGGCTGATCTAAGGAACCAGCAGCACCCAGGCCTAACTGAGGCAGCAATGGTGTGATATCAGGCAATTACCTACACCAGTCGGCTATGGTGTCCTTTAGTGCCACAAGGGGGTCATAGGCACTTGCCGGGACTTCGGCACACGGGTATACCGACCACCCTCGTGGACCCGGCAAGCTAGGTAAAGGCCCAGACAACAAACCATGCATTCCCAGAACAGGCGTGGACTTCAACTTAAGAAAGAAGATGTAGAAGGATGGATGTACTTGATGGATGGCTTACAGATGGGTTCACTCATCCGCTTCCCCTAAATATAGCCACATCCTTGCTCGGGGTTGTTGTTCCGCATTTTTCCATGATTTCACCTGCAGCTTCCATTCATTCTTTGCACCCTAGTTTTAGAGCGGAAAGGCGGGTTACGAAGTTGTCGTCAACGGAAATCTCTTCTTTTGGATGATGAGACAAGGACACCTACTTTAGCCCCGTCTTAACCCTGCTGTTCGCATAAGCCTACATAAACCCTACCCTGTGTGGCGGCGTGCGCCACCATGTGGCGCACGCAACAAATACACTGGCCGTCCGTTATGGGTTAAAATAAGTGATGCAACGGCCCCTGTTGATAGAGGCGAAACTCCTGTTAGGCAAAAGCGCTGCTCAGTTCCAGTGGCAGCATTCATTGATCTTATATGTGATATGATTTGAATGATCTTTGTATTTCCTAGTTACCACACGGAATAGAAGAATTTTCTTTTTCTTGTGGAAAAACTCGTTCGTTTATGGCAGCACTGAGATCTCATCAGTTATTTCTTCTAAAATCGTTAGTATCCATTTTGTGATATTCCGTTTTCGCATCAAAGATATCCGAGTTTCCACGGAACCCGTCACATCGGTCTTTTCTTTCCAGGGAATGGGATGGTTGCTGCTCGTTTGCAGTATTCTGCACACAACTTCAAGCGCGTTGGGTCTAATCACCAATGGCCTGCTAATATTTCTGGTCTTGACGAAAACTCCAAAACGACTCGCAACTTATTCAATTCTTATTCTCAACTTTGCCATCTGTGACTTTCTCACATGCGCTTCTGCATTTTTCGTGCAGCAAAGGTAAAATGCATAAGAACTCAAACGGCATAATAGACATTGCCGGACAGTAAGCGGCCGCGGCACTTTCCATGGAGCGCGTCAGTCTAGCCTGGCACATAGCAGACTTCTGCAACACATTCCTCCACAGTGTAAACTATGCAGTCGAAGTATAATACTTGAGCGCAATGTGGCTAGGGGGAAGGGGCACCGTCTGATCGCTCACATTCAGGGCTAAGCGTTTGAAGAGGAAAGGGACCCGGGGTGCGGAAGCAATTTTCACATTCTCCAAAGTTCGCCCCTCCCTATGCTTATGGAGGCCTTTCTCCCGAGTAAATTCCCCGGAGTAAATTCGCGCCCATATCCTAAAAGAAGCACGGGCCGCATTGTGCCCGTACTTTTATTAGGATATTGGCGCGAATTTACTTCTTAATGACTTTACATTAATAGAGAAGCCTCCACCCCAAAACTGGGGAAACTTATGATTAATTCATATAGCAAGATAGCAAGAAACAACAGATCTGAGAAACAAGAGCTAAAATATGTACGACATTTCAATGAGCGATTACATTCTTAGCAACCTTTTCCATGGCATACTTGAGGCCAAGCAGTGATTGCCGCGTTCTCGTCGACTTCTGTCGTTGTTTGAGCCTACTACTTTGGGAGGCTAGTATAGTTTCAATCCAAATTGGCAGCGTAATAAACCCGCAGGCAAAAAAATATAGCTCATACGGATAGTATACTTCACGCGGATCATACTCCATGTACGACACAACGTACGCTATCTTATAACCAGGTAAGTTGGCGACATGCCTTCGCTTTCCCTCTGCGACACACTTATTGAAAAGCGAGGTCTTCCTTCTTTCGTTATGCCAGAAAATACAGTTAGAAGCATTTGGGTCACACAAGATGTTTTACGGTAGGCTATTCGCCTTGCACACGAAATATGACTACGAGAATGAGAAAAAGTGAAACAATAGACGAACAGAACCACTTCTTCTTAAACTCGTAAACTATTAGGTTGGAACAGTTGAAATGTCGCTTCCGTTTGTGCCTTTGTTTCTCAGCTTAAACACAATCTCTTAGGATGGGAGACCATTCATTCGAGAGAGCGATTCAGCACGCATATTGCGAAATCTTAGGCGCCACTGAGCGGATGTTCTTCGAGCCAAAACTTTTGCGAAGATGACTGATCAGAAATCATCGTCTGAGCGTATATATTCAAGCAAGGAAAAACGGCCAACGAATCCCACTCATTGTGTGCAAAACATTGAGCAGTAACACTTAGTCTCTGATGCACTTTCAGCTATGGTTTCAGCTCTTCCAAGACTGAGGTAAAGGACCTGGGACGAAGATCGTGGATTTTGACCTCTAGCTCTAGATGACGGAGAAATAAAGAAAGCCAACGAATTGAGTCCTCGACAAACCGCACAAAACTTGCATGGAGATTCAGTTGTGTCAACAGAAAAATTTAAAAGTTCCTACGTGCGACTGTTAAGGCCTTTCAGGATAGAAAATGGGTTTGGCCTATTCTGAGCGACGCGAGCAAGCAGTACTGGTTGCCAATACTGGAACTTCGCTCCATAACTTCAAGAGGAAAAAGGTTCTTGACTTTGTTGACCGCATTTACAAGAGATGTTTCCCAATAACAACGCGAGAAGAGGACCGTGGTTGGCGGCTGATGGACAGCTGAGGGTGACTTCGAAACCAGACATCCACGGAAACAAAGTCATGTTTTTATAGTGATACAGTATAGCAACGGTGTACCACGGAATGCTGATTGTGGGTTATACAGTTACAGCTGAACTCTGCGTATAACAGCTCCACCACGTGGGCCGAGCTCCGCGTCGTCAAAGGGTAAATTCGGCCAATGAAAAATTATGGCACGATAATGCAAGACCACATGTCGCGAAAATCTTGCAACAAGAAATCGAGGAGTTGGGCTGGGACGCTCTACCTCCGCGCCATATAGCCCAGGTCTGGCGCCGTCCGACTATCACTGACCCAGGTCAGCGCAACACTCCTTAGCAGCAAACCAATTCGATAACCGCGACGACGTCAAAATTTGAGTGCCCAACTTCTTCGAGTCGAACCAGAAAGAGTTCTACGCGGTAGGCATCCATGCTTTGCGTAACGAAAGGTGATGAGCCTGTGACACAGGTGAAGGAGATGGTTCAGGTTGATGTGCTTCATTATTGTTTTTATAATGAAAATAATTGATGATCGAAAACGACATTTCAATCCAATATAATGACGTGGTAGAAACGTTCACAGAAACCACGGGGTAGATAAGGATGCAATCAGAATTGAGTTACTTTTCACCTAAGCTGTATATTTGAAAGTAATTTGTGATAGATGAGATGAATCGGTATCCAGGCCATTACTAAGGTGATCAACAGAATCGAAAAAGCTTTCTTCTTTTTTACCGTTGTATTTGAACAGGATTTATGGAGGGTTGAACTCACCATAAGTTTGTTTTCCTTTTTCTTAGGTCGTGGTCGTCTTTTCACGCTGGGGGGGGGTTCCTCCAGCGTGAAAAGACGGCCAATTGATCAAAGCCAGAATTAAGTCCAAATTTGCACCCTTACCCTCAGAAGAAGGTCGAAAGTATAATTCACACTGTGGAAGGACGTGTTGCCAAGGTCTGCTAGGTACAGGCCAGGCAGAATCGCTCAACGACAAGTGCCGCTTACTATCCGGTAACGTATATTATGCCGTTTTGATTCTTCTTCAAAATATGTGGGAGCCCATGAAATTGGTGTACTCATCTATATAATATTTTCAAAATAAACGAGCACTTACAGGGTTGCAGTAGAACTCGTTTGAGAAATAAAATGAAATGATGGCGCTCAAATAAAAAAAAGTAGAGTAAAGTAGTAAAAACTAAGAAGTAGATCCATGTTTTGATAAGTCCACATACGCTTCATTTTCGCTTCTTGAATGGATATACCACCAAATTTAAAGTTGCTTTCCGACCATTATTTTTGAAATGTTATTTATAGTAACGACTCTTACTCCTTGTTAGATAAATGTGGTGTTGTCCTGCTACTTTTGCCAATTCCTCGTCGCGGTCTTGACCCTGCTGTAGCCTATGAAAAAATTTCCGCAGTTCAATCCGGAACCCTGAAACATTTACATGTCGTGCCGATGGTCTCTACTGCACTTTTCGATTTGTAAATTTTTTCCTTTAAGAGCAATATCTCAAGGAATCGATTTGCCGAAGTCTGTAAGTGGTTAAGTGATCATGATAAGACAGAACGCTCGCTTAGCCTGCGGTCTTATTCTTATCGCTTTGGCAGGAATCGAACCATTATTTGATCTCGAATTATGCATTTCGAATTATCATGGCGACGCAGACGTCATATCCGAATCCTTTTCTATAGCGTATTTTTTATTATTTTCACTTCCCAACTCACTGGTACAACAAAACGAGCAGTGCCCTGGAACCATCAAGTTGTTGCCACCGTAGCCTTCCAGTAGACTCATGCAGACGTTCCAAGATCAACCCTTTATTCGTAGTCGTCCGAATCCACGGGTTTCGATTTCATCGCTTGCGCCTCCGTGTTGGCGGTGGTATTACTAACCTACCCAAACAGAGCCGTTTTGTTTGCAGACTTGGCAAAGGCACCTTTGAGCTGCAATTCTTTTCATCTGCATCCGAAGCCATGCCTCGAAATAGAAGGCTTGATATGTATTTGGTGTCCTATTCATTGCTTTCACATTCGTACGGTATTCTTTTTCTCTTCCGATGCCCATGTTTCAACAAGTCACAGTAAACAGGCATCTGTAAGAAAAGTCGTCTACTCTTGACTAGTGACAATAAATTTTCAGTAGAATCAAGCCGGAAACCCCAGAATCAAGCCGGAAACTACGCCTGTTCCTTTTGATTTCATTTTTTTCCGATTCTTCGGATGAGCCCGGCCATTCGAGGAGCTGGATTGGATCAGCATGTTTGCGAACCGTAGGAATTGTGGAGATGATCTCGCATGAAGAACTTATATTTTTCACTAGTCAATTCATCAAGTCACCAGTGCATAGTGAGAATGAATAGCAGGAGATAAGGAATCGCATTTTCGGGCCAGTCGAATCCGCTGAAGGGTTGCTGAATTTCGATTTTGCAATATCGCAGCCGAGTTTTCTAAAACGCTTAGAGGAATCGTCCACGGAAGAGCTGTTACTCCCATCGGTTGAAGAGCATTTTTCATGCAGGTGGTGCCGCGTAAGTTACACTGAAGGTCCGACAAGAACTCCACACCTTTACGCTTCCAACAGGTTTTCACGTTTTGGCTACCAACCAATAATTGTAGCAGTTTTACGGCGGGAATTGAACGTTCACCATATAAGTTCACCATTCATATAAGCTCTTCAATCTTGCCATCTCCGTCTTCGCACGTCAGCGGGTGCTTATTTATCAATAAGTTTTTTGTCAAGTAGACACTAATTTCACATAAATGTTCTTTCCTTGCAATGAATGCACCATTTAGTATTAGTGGTTTTCTGCATATCGCGGTTTAAATTACCACATTTCAGGCTCATCCCTGGAGGTGAAGCGTTGTTTTATTTTTCGCATGGGCCGTGTAAGCTTATCGGACCCACTGTATGCTATGTGGGGTCAGGTTTAATCTGCGAAGCTTTTATGAGTGTTTTCATATGGACTATTAATATTGCATTTTCAGATACAGTTTCATGTTGCACGGCTATGCTCACTGGTTATGGAGTTTACTGTTTTCATTTTTATATCGCTACTACATATTAGGGCATTCCGCTCCAAAATCTAGCCGTGTTGCATTTATTATTATGCTACTTTATGTGCCTTCTTTCATCCAATTTGTGGGTTCCACTCATGTAACTGTTGAACGTATGTGGCCATTGAAATTTCCCTTGACTTCTCTTTCTTCACTTCATTACCACTCCATTATGAATCCGTTCAACTTAGATTGCGTTAAAGGAATCCTTGTGCCCATAATTAAGTGGCCTGGGATTCATCGTTCACGATAAGAACGAAAAGAACAAAAAAATTGCATTTGTTTTGGTAAAAAATTCGAAAAACCGAAAGGGCTGCTACGCGTTCAAAGTACCGCCGGACATCTGTCACAAATGCTGGCGACGGGAATGCTTCCACTTGGTTCTTGGAGTGCCTTCACTAGAAACTCTTTCTGGCCTTTTGACTTATTGCATTAACATCTCACATCTCCACTGCCCTGATTTATCGATCGATTTGTCTGTACTCTCTCGGTCAAATTGTTTCATTGCATCGCCTGATACGTAGCCGCCCCAAGGCAACTTCTTTCCATGCCCCGCCTTTGGCTCCGCCCGAATTACCTTCGATTGTCCATAGAGTGTAGTTTTTGTAAGTTTGTTTCTCTTCGGAAACCGAATGCGTGAAACTTTGTATGTTGTCTCTAGTGATTACAACCAGACATATGCGCCTCGAGAAGAAATGCAAGATTGCAATTGCGCATCAGATGTTTGTGAAAAATATAAAGGAGTTTGCATACTATGTCCTTGCATTAGTAGAAGCGAACGCAAGGATAATAACTAGTGATGCATTGGGTTGATTGGAACTCTTCACGTGAAGTTGCTCAGATATGTATGTTGTTCTTGAAAAGATTATTGCTACCAAGATCGTCGTTGTACTTTTTGTTTTCAAGTTATTCCACGGGGCTCAGTGAGAAATGCACCAGCAAAGCCAGTGCACATAGCGTGACTGTTCCGGTGTTCGGGTACTCCGCAAAGTTTACAAAATATCATAAGGTGGTTGACTCACGCTGCGGAGATGCAGAAGATCGGCGTTCGTGCACATTTTATGACTCTTCGCAGCAATAGCCTAGCAACACATGCACACAACTGTTGCATGGCCTTACGAGTTACCATCTGCCCGCGCTAAGGGAAAGCAGTTCTTCACTTGAAATTTTGTTGTCTAGCCTTTAAAGAGTCTGTGCCGAGCTGGATGCTCACATACACCAGTACTTTCAGGTGACCTTCTGTTTCGCTAGCGACAATGTGGTCGAAGTGAAATTGTTGCTAGCAAAGAAGTTCAACTATAATATGGAGTCGGAGTGCGTGAGCGGTCATTTGAGTATTTTCAACTGGAAAGCGATGCTGACAATTCTCCTCATGACATTACCAGTGGCTCCAGTGTACACTGCCATTCTCATTCTTAGAAAATTGACGATTATGAAGCTACGCACAGAGAGGGCATTGTCGGAAACCAGCAAACACCTTCACGAACAACTTCTCAAGGTGATTCCTTCATTTTCGCATAAGTGTAGAATGCTTCTTCTAGAAAGTTGAATTGACCAGTTCTGACAGCGTAAACAAGTGGATCTCCAACAAGTCCGGAAACCAAATAAATTCGACACGATTCGGCAAACTGTCGTAGTTTTATGTTTCTGCAGAACACAAGACGCAGTTCCCGCGGCAGTACGTGTATGTGAACAAACCAGGATGAAACATTTTGTTTTCTGTGAGGGTAACTTAACTTATTAGAATTACAACATCGGTGCAACGCCATAAAACCTGGCCTTGCTGTGCTTTAGGTTTAAAGTGTCAAAACGTTGCTTTTTGTCTTGCCAAGCGCTAGTCATATAGTATGACTATTCAGCGTTCTGAGGAAATATTTTTCTGATAGTACCGACTCAAGTCTTGATTCTATGAGCCTGGTTTGCCTCTATCTCCTCCCCTCAGCCTCTCCTCTCTCACCAAGCGCCGCTGGGCACTATTGGCTATGGAAGAGAGCTTGCTAAGCCTATTATAGACGTTGTGGGTGTTATCACAACCACGATATCACGTTAGAATGGGCAACAATTATCAAAATAATTCTAACGTCATCCTTTGATAATGACCTTTTCTTCTTGAAACGCTTTTTTGAGCACACCCACCTCCTACAAAAGGTGTTCGTGGCGAAAAAAGTACAGCGGAAAGCGTAAATTTTACGAAGGGGAGAGGGATCTGGTCATCTTGAGGTTTGAGCTGCAAACCGACTTCATACATGTACGAAAACCATCAACATCTATTGTACGTCCATTTTTCTCGGCACAATTCTGCCAAGAAGGCGGAGGTGATGTAGATGAGATGATCTTCTGTCAGATCACTCTCTTAATCTCCTTGTGCGACGACGAAATCACGGCTATCAAGTTGATGCATAGCGCCCCAGTTGTAGAGGTCCTTTATGGCGATAGACGTTACAAGTTACAGCATGTAATACCATCAAGGCTTCAAGGGCCTCTTCACCGCGTGGACATGAAAAATTATAATGGGCCGTCGTCGGAGCAATGCTTGGTCCTGGCACTTTCCTTTGCACTGGCACTTTCCTGAAAGATGAGTCCACCAAAACGTTGTACTTTATAAACTGCATCGCCCTATCGTCCTCCTTATATAGACGCAGAACTTTGTTGATTTCCTACGGGGTGAGTGCCTTACATTTAGACAACTGGAGTGTGAAGGATCGAGCCAAAGCTTGACGGTAATTGGAGGTAAACTCATGGAAAGGAAATACTCGTCTGACCTGTATGGTACACGAGCAGGTGTACATGATAGCTGGATAGGTCAGAGCTTAGATCAAAAAGCACTCTCGTTTACCCGTCGACATGCAATTCCATGCAGACCTCTGCAAGGGCTCATCTCGTTTTTTAAGTAGGTAAGGAAGATTCAGGATGCTTCTTCCATCTAGTACTATTTGAGTCAGGAGCGCTTCTTTTTCTCCTCAGCTATCCTTACTGCCAGTCCACACAGCTTTGGAAACTCAAGCATAGAATGCAGCTTCACGAGAGCATGTCATCTTGAGAGTTCCCGAAGATAGGTGTACCTGAGTAGTGTTCAATCTCACTAGTTTACAAGTACCTTCGTAGAAATCGAAGTGCTGAGGTATGATATGATTCGTCCATTTGATCCACAGTAGGATTCTCCACGAGGCAAAGCGAGCAAAATGACCTTGGTTGTTGAATATATCGGAGCTTTGCCTTTCAAATTTTGCGGCTTTATCTCCTAGTATGGGGAGAGGATCTCTTTCACTGAGGGTCCTCTCTCACTGAAAGATCTCGAGCCGGTTGGTGGCGAGGCTACGTGGCGCGACCCCAGGTGGCGGATAGGGGGTAAATCGCGGACCAAAAGCCACCATGTACTTGCCCTGAGACGCAGGTGGATTCAGGGGATGGACTCCCTGTTTCTGTAGCGCTGTGTTGATTCATACCAGCTGTCTCCACTCAGGCGCATCCATGCATGCTTGCGTGTGTGGTGCGCTCTGTGTGTGTGCGGTTGGTATCCTGCATGTCGGCACAGCCAAAAGCTTGCATTCAAGTGACTGGGAAGTACATGGGAGGCGATTCGGGGCCGCCTCCAAGAAATAAGCCCCTTGTTCCGCTCCAGGATAGCGTGGCTAACTACCTGGAGGTCTATCCTAGCCCGCACGACAGAGCCTGGCAAGCTACTCGTGTGCCTTCAATATGCCGAAAACAGCAATATGGATGGGCCTCATTCCCCTGAACCTGAGGGAGCCCCCAATACGGCAGCGTTGGGTAGGACCGCTCGGGAGAGGCTGCTAGAATCTCAGGGCCCGGATAGGCTGCCTAAACGAAGAAGGACTAAGATGGCGATCTGTACTTTCAACGCACGAACGCTTGCATCCGAAGCTCACATCGAAGATCTGATGATGCAGGCCAGGAAGATCAAGTACGACGTCATCGGACTGACCGAGACGAGAAGGCACCGCCCGCTACACGCCGTTTTCGATACTGGAGAAGAACTGTTCCTTGGAACATGCGACAGCAGAGGCGTTGGCGGTGTGGGTGTCCTCGTCAACACGCACTTGGCCATAAACATCGATTCGTACGAAAGCCTTACGACCCGAATCGGACGTTTGAGATTGAGAAGATGTGGTTCAACTCCTGCTTTGACAATCTTCGTCGCCTACGCACCAACATCCAGCTACGACGAAGAAGAACACGAAGCATTCTATATGGAATTGGAGAAGTTCTACAGGGAAGATCATACCTTCTTCAAGGTCATCGTCGGCGACTTCAACGCTAAAGTGCCTAAGAAGTAACTGCTTCAGAACTTCACATCGGTACTCACGGAATGGAATGGAATGAGCAGGGTGAGAGACTGTCGGAGTTTATCATGTCGACCAACACCATCCATGGTAACTCACAGTTCCAAAAGCCCCCTCACCTTCGTTGGACTTGGGAGTCACCTGATGGACAGTTCCATAACGAGATAGACCACATCATCTTCAATCGAAGGTTTTGCCTGACCGACGTCGCTGTTGTTCCGAAGTTCTACACGGGATCGGACCATCGTCTCCTCCGCGCAAGATTCCAATTCTCGATGCGTGTTGAGAGAGCAGCAAAGTTCAGGAAGCGAAGCCCCAGGACAACCACCAACTGGGACCACTTCGCTTCCCTCGTCAGCTTATGGGAGGATTCCGTCATCGAAAACATCGACGAGGAGTACTATCGGCTCGTTGAACATCTTCACGATTGTGGCAGAAGGCAGAGAGTTTGAAAGTCACCAAAGGACGTCTGTCTACGGAAACTCTCGAGCTGATTCGCCAACGTGGAGCCGCACGAGCTGCAGGCAATCACCGACTCACGTCCGAGCTTGCGAAGCTATGCAGAGAGGCGATAAAGGAAGATCTCAAGGAGCGAAGAGCAGCAGTATTAGCTGAAGCAGCAGAGGCTGGGAGGAGCATCCGCAATGCCCGCCGAAGCTTTGCCAGCTACAAGACCAAGATGACCTGCCTCCGACGTCCGGATGGAACAGTACTGCATCCCGAAGGGCAATGGAGAAAGTCATCCACGACTTCTACTCGGATCTCTTCGATAGCCATGTCCATCTGCCCACTTATCAACTGCAACAGGATGGATACGTCGTCCCCTCAGTTCTCTCTTCCGAAGTCCGACACGCCATCAAGTCGGTGAAGAATCGTACAGCACCCGGTCTCGACAGGGTCAAACCGGAACATCTGAAGAATGCGCCGCCAGTCATCATCAAAACTCTGGCTCGACTCTTCACGCGCTACCTGTCGGAATGCAAGGTACCCACTCCGTGGAAAACCAGCAGGACCGTGTTTCAGCACCCCCCCCCCCCCCCCCCTGTGCTGCACAAATGAGGATCACGGACGACATGGCAATTATCGCCAATCTGCTGCTGTCTGTAATCTACATAGCTCACTCAATATCTCCTCTAACAGGTATCAGTGCAGCGCAATAGCCTAGACAATTGAAGGCACTCCGCATGTGCGAGCAAGCAGGGTTTCGAAGAGGGTTCAGCACGATCGACCATATCCACACGGTTACAAGACTCATTGAAGTTTCACGAGAGTACAAGATGCCGCTTTGTCTCACGTTCATCGACTTGAAGAAGGCCTTCGACTCTGTGGAGACAGAAGCGGTCATCGAAGCCTTGGGCAACCAGTCCTACTCACTACATCAAGATTCTTCGTGAGCTCTACAGCAACTTTACGACCAGAATCTCACCATTCTACAAGGAGGTCATCATCGACGTCAAGAGAGGGGTTCGACAGGGCGACACCATCTCGCCCAAACTCTTCAGCGCCGCTCTCGAGAACGTCATGCGTCAACTGGAATGGGAAGACATGGGAGTGAAGGTCGACGGCCGGCAACTACACCACCTTCGTTTTGCTGACGACATCGTTCTTATAACGCCGAACATCGAGCAAGCGGAGCGAATGCTGGCTGTCGGTAAGGTCCTTACGCTACAGCCCTACATCGAAACATGTTATCCGGGAGATTCTTTGACGCCCCAAAGTGATCATATGGGCGTTGGAGAACCGACGGATTGGGTGATCCACCATTTCACGCCTCAACCGGATGGCCATGAATCATCGTCCGGAGATGCCCCAGCTACGACTTTACTCTATCGTCGGGAAAATCCTAATAATGCTAATTGAAGATCACGAGCGTATAGCCGAGGCTGAGCAGGTATGAAATCAAGCGTCTTGGAAGGCTCAAATAAAAACATACGATCTCCCGGACAGGAATTGAAGAACGTATCGAAATAGACATCCTGGTCCTCGTGTACCCAATCCTCTCGATTCCGCCATGCTCAGCATCACTCCTGCCACCTCTCAACCTACGCTCTCAATACTTTGGACTCTTGCGCGAGGCACGGACGATATCCACTCGCGTCAGCGTTATTCAACGCCGTCGAGGAGACGATGCGGGCATTAACCCATACTACACGCAGTCGTCACAGGGATTCCGGCAAGTCGTCCCGACCCTAAT